CGACAAACGAAACCAACATAATATGGAAAGAGAGCAAGGGAAAGGATGTGCGTTGACGACGTCGCAGGGATACGACTATCTGTGTGTGATAGATGTCCGTGTTGCATCTGCAAAATTGAAGGCGCAATGCTCCGCTTTATGCTGCCAATGAGGTGTCGCTCAGATTCGGGAGAAAAGTTAAAAAAGTGGCCCGAATACGTCTCTCCAGTCTTCAGCTGTGTTGATACTCGATTTTTATTTCAGGTCCATGTCTGATTCTTTTTTGGAATGATTGGCACACCAACATCTAAAGCTGGCGCGAACCAGCCCCATACAATTTGCGGGGCAGGTTTTGTTAGGAAGCCTTGGGTCGATTTAACCTGGCTTCAGCATTCAAGGGTTAATAAAAATATTGTTAAAATGATTGCACCTTCCTCGCAAAAAGTAAGGATTCAACAGTGAATCCTAAAGAAGCCATCAGTCTGTGAATTTCAATATTTGGTTATGCAATCTCACAAAATTAGGCTCCAGTTGTTCGGTCTCGTTTGAAAACATTCTCATTTCCAACAAAATGATTGCTGAATGGGACTTCCTGCTATAGAGCTCTAATGTATTTAATTGATTTGTCCCTATCTCTTTTTTGTGCTTGCCTTACTGAACACCTTGTCTTTTCCCAGACTCAACATCCTTTTTTCCCTCTCTCTCTCTCCTTCAAAATTTCACCTTTTACTCACTAGATTGCAAGTTTCATTTTCTCTCTCCTTCAAAATTTCACCTAGTACTCACTAGATTGCATGTTTCATTTTCCGATCGAGGAGGCTAAAAATATCTTTTCAGCTGACATGTTTCTTGGGCTCATCTTTTTCAGACCCTTAGTCTTCAAAAGCAGTACTTTAGGTCGTCAGCTCTGCCTCGGTTTCTCTAGAAATAATGGTGCTTGGATGCGTCTAGTAGCTGTGATTTGCTCTCTTTTTTTTCATTTCACAAGTCCATCGATTACTTTAACACATTCAATTTTGAAATTTATTCTCTGTGCTATCAATCTACTTTGATCCTGAAGGGAGTACATCCCCCTGGGAAATATCATACTTCACCCCTTTAACCGGTCAAGGGTCTACGCTTTTAGATGTGAGCCGATCCATACATGCGAGGAACGTTTAATCTTACGAGGAAACTGGGATCCGATAGAGATGAATAAGTTCTTTTTTGAATCAAGTAACAAAAAATACATAGGGATACATGTATTGCATGTCTAACGAATGTTTCTCGCTTTGTCAAATAACTATGTTTTTCTGGTCAAATGACACAATGCGCTCGTAAACCCCCATGTGGAACGCATCTTTTTGTTTTTCATCTGAAAGAACGGAAAAATTATTTTATCTAGGTCCTCAATGGAGGAACTTCCACTAACTGTTTGCGGCTAAATCAGAGAATGACCTTGTTATTTTTTTTATACCCTCTGACCAATATTTTAAAAATCCGAATTTGTGTACAAATGCGTATTTTTAGCATCTGAATAAGGGATTTTTTTTTTTTGGCAAACTCGATCTATCGGCAAATTAGTGGGTTGTGGAAAAGACAATGGTCGATTCAAGGTCAGCAGCAAAAAATAAGATATAGTAGCCCAATTAGCTATCTGAATACTATGATTTTCTGTCCTTCCGGACTCAAAACAGCAGATCAGTTCTATGTAGGATTCGTGGGTGGATGTTGCCATTTTGACTGGAAAACCTCGTTATCAGAAAAAGGGAGGCATATTTTTTAGACATGCGGTATGCGGTACATGTCTGGTTAGGCATCTGTGGCTCCTAAATTCAAGAATTACTTTGGTTTATCTCAATCATGCATTAATTTCTGCAAAAAAAATTTTCCTAGGAAAATTCATTTTTAAATAATCCCAATTTACCTGGAAAATGGCGGAGACAGAGAAAAACGGAGGTCATACTTGGACCTAGGGCTGAACATTACATGAGAATTCGCTGTTAAAGCACTAAATTTTTTTTCGGTGCATACTTCTGTAATCTTTCATATTCAACAGTGAACCATTTTTGCGTCATTTTTAAACTTCCTGCGCAATAAAGTGTATCCTGAATTAAGGAGTTCTTTGGAACAAGGGCGTTTGCTCGAAACAGTAGTTCTGCAGAAATCGCATTTGAAAGTTCAAAAGTGTTTAGCGCTGGTTCTAACCAATATTTTCGCACGCACTTTAATTAGTTGGAAAGACCAAGTCTTTAAGAGTATACTTGCAAAGACGGAACATTGTGAATTCATTCACCTACAATTCCTACAGGATATTGTAGATCGTTGTGTAAAAAAGGGGGACAGGGCTTTTTATTACACTATGTATATTTCCTGAAACTAGGAAGAATCCAGTTTCAAAAAACGCGTTTTCTCGAAAAAGGGCGGATGCACGCATACGCCTTTGTTCCAAAGAGCTCCATGTAACCGGCCGGCGCGCGTAGAGAAGAAAAATATTGCAACTCATGAAATTTTTGATCTATTTTCGAGTTACGGCGATCTTGCGATGTCTATTACAATTTGCACCAATAGATGCTTGTCTGAGGGATATTTTCTTGAAAAAGTAGAGGATATGTCAATTGTTTATGTATCTCCGTTTCCTTGTTGGCATAAATTGAGATAGATCGAGGGAGCATCCGATATCTCCGAGACACGCTACGCCGCACAGGGGGAAAAACAGTCCATCTAGCGCTGAAAAGGGCAGAAAATCGGCATCGGCAATCGTAATTACAATACTTCACTTTATCTTCATAAAAATACAGTTTCTCGGTAAAATAACAATATGGATTTGGATGATCAAGGCATCCTCTCGTCCCTCCCAGACTCTACTTTTGCCAGATAGGTTACTTTTTCAGCACTTTTCCCGGTTCAAACCCTTGTAAAATATTCACATATATCGTACAATCTGGCTACCCTGCTGGACTCGAATAAAGGGTGGAATTAAGTGGAATCCTTTGAAGTTTATATTAATGATGATGCTCCGGGCTCAGCAGTCACCCTCTCTCCCCTCTCCAAATCTTTAGTGAACTAACTTTGGCATATACAGGGTGATCCAAAAGTCCCTTCCACCCCCTCTAACTTTTTACCTAATTGAGATAAAAATTTGAAATTTGGGGGATATTCCTAGGTCAAAGGGAGCTACTTTTTGGCACCCCTAAAATTTTCAGGGGGGCCCCCCTTGGGGGGGCAACGGCCCCCAACTTTGAATTTTCAAATGGGAAGACCCCCTTTGTGATAGCTCGTTCGAAAGAGCATAAAAAAAGAAAACTTTTCGCGCAAACCCGAAGTCAATATCTCAAACTGTTTCAAAATGGCGGCCGGTTAAAGTTCAAAATGGCCGAAATTTCATACCGGTTATTTTTCGATGGATTTGCGCGAAAATCGGTATGGAGGGGTATTTTGACACGAGAAAAACGAATTTGACGTTAGATTTTCAAAAAAACCGAAATTTCCAAAATGGCCGTCGGTTAAAGTTTAAAATGGCCGAAAATTTTCACCTTGGTTTTTTCCTGATGGATTTGCCTAAAACTTGGAATTTGAGAGTATTTTGGCATAAGATAAACACATTTGAACTTAGATTTATGAAAAATAAATTTTTGGTCATTTTGAACTTTAACCGGCGGCCATTTTGAAAATTTTAGTTTTTTTGATAATCTAACGTCAAATTCGTTTTTCTCGTGTCAAAATACCCCTATTTACCGATTTTCGCGCAAATCCATCGAAAAATAACCGGTGTGAAATTTCGGCCATTTTGAACTTTAACCGGCCGCCATTTTGAAACGGTTTGAGATATTGACTTCGGGTTTGCGCGAAAAGTTTTCTTTTTTTATGCTCTTTCGAACGAGCTATCACAAAGGGGGTCTTCCCATTTGAAAATTCAAAGTTGGGGGCCGTTGCCCCCCCAAGGGGGGCCCCCCTGAAAATTTTAGGGGGGCCGAAAAGTAGCTCCCTTTGACCTAGGAATATCCCCCAAGTTTCAAATCTTTATCTCAATTAGGTAAAATGTTAGAGGGGGTGGAAGGGACTTTTGGATCACCCTGTATGTTTGAATACTCAAACTCAATTCATATGGTTTTATTTATAAAGAAGATAATTCAACATCCCCCACAATTTTTGAGATATTTTGAACTATTTTTATCGCTATTTTCCAAGATGGCGGCAAAGCGGTGAAGCGTGGGTGCTCTCTGTCGGTTTCTTAGTCCGGAGGGCTCAATGGCCATTCTAAGACCAGAATTACGGTGGTATGGTAATCAGAAACCGTGTATCACGGTGCATTGTAGGTTAAGTGACCGCACTCCAGAATCACAATTTTGTTATCATTTCTTCGCAATCACATCCCTAACGATATTATGAGACATTTGTTCGAAAAGTTGACTTTTCCCTCTCAAAATGGTAGACTGTAAATTCAGATCAACTAGTTGAGGATGAAGTCATTTCGTGTCTTAAATATCTTCAGGACTGTCAGTCGCCATCAACTTGTGCACTCCTGAAGCGAGTTCTCACTCAATCTTGATTTTGAGTGAAGAAATCACATCAATGTTGGAACCAAAACTAGAAAATACTTTTCTAAAGTGTTACCTAAAATGTTTATTTGAAGTCATGAAATTATATCTTCTAAATAAACAGATTCTTTGTGTAATGACTCATTGAACACCTATCAAACGTTAATTTGGATGCCACGGTCTGCATGTTAATGAAGAATAATTTTGGTGGAGAGAAGTCAAAGAGGATATGTTTAGAGTGTATTGACACACTCGCAAAATGATTCTTACGTGAAGCTTTTATTATAAAAATTATGTTAGGAAGAATTCTATCATTAATAAGGTGTGAGCTAAGCAAGTAGAAAAATGAATTGACAGAATTAGCACCAAAATACATGAGGCATTTCTATGGATACCAAACTTCTTAAAAGCTGTTAATTTCGCTCAAGAAAATACTTACCTTTTCCTCAATTTCCTTTTTACAGCATTCGGTTAAGTGGGTCTTCTTATTATCTTTTTCAGGCCGCAACATCTTTATTTGATATGTTAGAATATTATGAATCAGCCACGCACTTAGTACTGTCTGACAATCATCTCATTGATTCCAGAGGCTGGCAGGCCTGCTCACGAATGATCAAAAGGGTATGTTTGTACGTAGCAAAGCTGTCTTCTCATTCCTGTAATTTTATCATGCATTTCATCCTTTGGAGCACTTTAATTGAACTTACAACACACAGGTGGTTTAAACGAAGTCCAAATGAAAAATTTACAACCCCAAAATCTAAGGGCAGGGAACCAAAGTGAAATACTCTAGGAAAACTTACCCAGTGGGACGAAAATAATTGATTTGACCATTTATGTTAATTGTGTTTTTATGGTCCATCCATAAATTACGTCACCTATTTCCCCGACTTCTTGGCCCCTCTGTCTCCCTTTGCCTCTCATCCTCAGACCCCCCCTTCTTGCCTAAAAATATGTCTTTTCAAGCGTTGCCTCCCTTTTTCTCAGGTGTGCGGTTGTGCGGTTGTTGTAAACCTTTGCCATAGGTGTATCACTTATTGATTCATAATATGTTTAAAAGGACTCGGAAATAACGTTGAGCAGATAGGACAATTTTGAAATGTACTCTTTTTCACTATGAATGTTCATAGTTTCAAGTAAACAAAGTTTACTACGGTAGTCACCCTCTCTCCTCTGACATATCATTCAGATGTGCTGCACTTTTGAATTTACAAGATTTCACCATGTCAGGATACAGTGACGTCACTTTCACTTGACCTTTCCCTCCCTCTTTTTACACTTGCATGTCACTCACTTCGATACCTCCCCTTCAGCCTGGGTGGGTGTTGTAATTTATGGACAGCCCTGAGATACGCGGTAGGTATCAGTGTTTTGTTGTGGGTCGATTCAAAGTGATCTGCATTTTGCGCGTAAACATGCAGCCAGATAAATCCTCTCTGACTGGGTAACATCAAGAGGCCTGTGGGATCTTGACGAATTTTTCATTACTAAATACGGAGTGAAGCTTGGTGCAGGAACATGGTCAAGGAGGGCGCATCTGTGACTAATTTTTATAGTTCCACCCTAACTCCTTTTCAAAATCATAAATTTTCCGTACTTTCAGGTTTGGATGAAATAATTTCAAAACAAAAACGGAAACCATGATTTTCAAAGACAGGACAACCTATTAGTCCTCAAGACAGGGGTTCCGAGGGGACTTCAGGACGATTAAGGCCGGATTCCTCATGGCCGATTCCCTTCTCGTCCTCGACTTCGTCCAAACCAAAAATACTGAGAAAAGACCTGATATGGGTGGTCTAGGACACCTCTAGAATCCTTGTATTCTGTTCCATGTTATTCTTGTATTCTTGTTCATGTATATTTTCTCTAAAAATCTGTGTCCAGTTAATTTTAAGGTTGATCAGATGAAAACCAGCATCTTTCTTGGAAGATAAGTTACTTCCTTCTTTCAATCGTTTTTCCTTTTAAAAAATCCGAATGATGTCAGCATTATTTTTAATGACTATGGTTTTTATATGCTTTGGTCTTTTAGATGCGGTGCTTAGAAATTTTAGAAGCAAGAAGTGTAAGTTTAAATGATCAATTGATGCCATTGCTCACAAGATCTTTAAGAGTGGGATCGCAGCTACAAGTTTTGAAGTTGGAAAATTGCCACTTAACGGGTCGTCCTTTCCTTATATTAGGTAACTTCTGAGTTTCTGTTTCCAATATCAAGGATTCCATTTTTTTTCATTATCTCACTATGATAATTATACTCTGTCATGTTCTGGATGAAAATAAATTTTATTTGGGGTTTTTAAGAGATCAAATCTTTAAAACAATCTGGGGGAGAAGCACTCCTCTCCTGTCTTTCATTTAAATCAATTGCTCTGGTTTTTATGATTCAATTCCATTCTAATTATGTTTCAGTGTGTATACTTTACCTGATTTTTTTCTGCCTATTGAAGGGATAAAATAATCATTTGAGCTAAAGCAAGTTTAAGTGTGAATAATTTGCAGTTTCTTTGCACCAAAGTAATTCTTACTTCGGCTCTTGTCTCACTAAGGGTTGCTACCAGCCAATTTTGCTGCACCATTTCTTATGGCGCAACTCATGATTATACTCTCGAAAATGAGATAACGAAAACACAATAGGAGAAAAAAAAATTGTCGGTAGTAAATTTTATATTGTCATTGATATGAGAAATAGAACTAGAATTTTGCTGCTGTCAGTGGCCATTTTGAATCCATATCTATTTTTCGCTTTTTGTACGTTCATGACTAATTTGCAGCACTTAAATTGTTTCTCATAGTTTCGATGGCAAAAATGAAGTGTAATGGGTATGTTTAGGCAACCGTTTATCACGTATCCAGTGGCTTATGGGCTAAATCATGATTATTTCCGTGAACTACATTGAGTCAACTTGGAAAACCTACATAAATTTCCAGATTCTAGGAGGGCGCCAAAAAAGGCCTTTATCGATACCCCTCCTTTTAAAGCTCCAATGAGTACACCAATAAAAGACTGAAGGGGAGAGCGTTCAGCTTAGGCAGCTTGCATTGGAATATTAAGTTGAGGTCACTGTGAGAGATTTATAACGTTTTGGGTCAGTCTAGCCCTCATCAGTAGATCACACTTGTCAGTGAACCCAACTTAGCATCCCGCAAAATCCAAGATGGCATAGAAACGCCATCATGAATATGACACGAGGCATGACACAAAAGTGTGATCCTTACGTCGCGCCATCCACCGTCGCTACTGAATAACTCTCATAACAAAACAAGGAAAACCGGAAAAAGCGACGGGAGATGGTGTGAGAATCACACTTTATTGTCATGCCTCACGTCATAATCATGATGGCGTTTTTGATGTCGTCTTGGATTTTGTAGAATGCTGTAGTAGTAGTAGTCCATCAGTAGATGAGGTCAAAAAAGACCCAAAGCAGGGTGTCTGCAGGTCTGGAAAACCGGGAAAACCGGGAAAAATCAGGGAATTTGATCATTGTCTGGAAAACCGGGAAAAGTCAGGGAATTCGATCGAAAACCGGTGAAAGGGAATTTTCGCAATTCGAACATTTCGCGGCTATTTTTGCTCGTCACTGCCGAATTGGCCGAGTAGGCGCTCGCGTGGCTGATAATGTAAACTGCTCTGTTCAACCAGTTTGCAACACGGCCGCTAGGTTCACTAATGTGTGTTCGCTAACTTTAAAGATCAAATCATCTGCCCTATTTAATTTATCTACTTAATTCATGCCAAATGGCAAGATAGACTAAATAAACTTGAATAAAGTTAACTTGCTAACAGCAGAAAATTACAGTAAATAATGATAGGAAAGTAAGTGCCCCAGTTTTGAGCAGATGGTTAATCAATTTTTTCAATAAGTTAGGAAATTTAATGAAAGTGCTAGAATTTTAGTTTTTCTTTAACTGAGTAAAGAAATATTCAATGTCAACTGCATTTTGCATGAAAGTTTTCTGGCTCTTAAATCAACATGTTCACAACTGGTGCATCCACCCTGTAGAAATATTATTGGTGGATTATATTCTAACAAGCCAACGCTTGTTGAGTATAAGACAAATTCAATACCAACAATAGGTTCTGGAATCCATTGAATTAATTGACCTTAAAAAAAAAAAAAAAAAAAAATCCTGAATCAAGCAAATTTATCTAAAATCGAGAAGAGACTCGTATTTCCTCTTGATTATGGCGAAATCTACCTGAGTTAGGCACATATACAACTCTTGTTTTATATTTTAAGAAAAAGAGACTTGTATTTTCAGGGCACTAAGTAATATGCCAATATTTAAGAAACCACCAGGGTGAACTATAGTTTGAATTTTCAAAAGTATACGGGGCAATATGTCACATAGAGAGCGTAGTAGAGCTTAAACATTAAATTTTGAAGGTGAATTTTAGTTTGAGTATACCATTTTGGAATTAGCTTAATTTTGAGTATTTAGGATCTCGTTCCTTTCAAAAGTATTACTCAACTCCTTGCAACGCCATGGTAATTCAGAATATGACTTTACGGGGTCATTCCTAAGGATAGTTTTTTTTTTTTTAATATTTTTTAACTAGTTCATCGTATGGCTAAACCCAAAAAGTCAGGGAATTTTGTCATATTTTGTCATGGAAAACCTGGAATCGTCAGGGAATTTCATTTTGAAAATCTTGTAGACAACCTGCAAAGTGTCATAGATCTCTTGGCATAATCTCAACTTAGTTTTCCAATGCAAGCTGCCTGAGCTGAAGCCAAGCTAAAGTAGCATAACTTCTCAACGTTTTGTCGTAGAAAGATGATCTTTGTGTCAAAATTCCCAGATAAATAAGAGCTATCAAAATATATGTATGAAATTAGTAAATTTTTCCAAATTGAACCTACGTTTGGGGAAATTATACAAGGTCCCCTTTCGAAACTTTTCGTTTTTCAAGATTTTCGGTCGCTCGGTTTACACAAAGCAAAACAAAAATCATCCTAAATAAAAGTAGAGGGTTTAAGGTTTAATACAAGCCCAAGTTCATCTTGGAAAAACGACAAGAAGCGGAGTTATGAGTCTTCAAAGTTGACGTGGCGCGCAGGAACCTTGTACATTCCGAGTCTGAAGGTCACCCGCGCCCCCTGCATTGCTCGCAAGTGGCGAGTTTTTGTATCTATATACTTCCGTGGGTTGTTGTCATAGTGAATCATTCAATGAAGACGGAATATTCGGAATTTGTGAATTTTACACAGGTAAAATTTTTCCAGGTTTATGTTATTTAGGTATAAAAAACAGGTGATTTTGGGCAAAATTACGTTCCTAATCCATGTATATTTCGCCCATTCGCAGGCGAATTTCGCTGAAATTTCGTATGCAACTCAGAAATATGTTCTAGAAAAGGTGTTTAGTCATTGCCGGCTGGATCAAGTCGGAAAAAGATTTTCCTGCTCCACCTTATGCGATTTACGCATAAAAAATAGGTGATTTTGGGCAAAATAACGTTTCTAATCCGCCTATATCTCGCCTATTCGCAAGCGAATTTCGCTGAAATCTCGTATACAACTCAGAAATATGTTCTAGAAAAGGTATTTTGTCAGTTCCGGCTGTATCAAGCCGGAGAAAAATTTTCCCGCTCCAGCTTATGTGATTTAGGTGTAACGAAACAGGTGATTTTCGGCAAAATTATGTTACTAATCCGCCTAAATCTCGCTTATTTGCAGGCGAATTTCGCTGTAATTTCATATACAACTCAGAAATATGTATTAGAAAAGGAGCTCAGTCATTTCCGGCTGGACCAAGTTGAAGAAAAATTCTTTCGCTCCACCTTATGTGATTTAGGTATAAAAAACAGTTGATATTGGGCAAAATTATGTTATTGATCCGCCTGTATCTCGGCTATTCGCGAGCGAATTTCGCTGAAATTTCGTATACAACTCAGAAATATGTTCTAGAAAAGGTATTTAGTCATTTCTGGTTGGACCAAGTCGGAGAAAATTATTCCGGCCCCAAGGTAAGCTGAAAACTCTGAATATTCCATCCAGAACCGGCATTTTTTGGCCCATTTTTTGCCAATTTTCGGTCCTCTTTCAAATTTTTGCACGCATGTGATGGTGTGTTGGTACTAACGTTGATTCCTGCTACCATAATTTACATTTAAAATTAAATCATACCCAACATCTGATGTATTTATTAAGATGTTCGCGTGAAAAACTATCAATTCCAGGCTGTCTTAGTGTATTCATGGAAATTTGGGTGAAAGGACTTGAATTTGAGACATTTTAAAGGCCAAATTCGGAATCTACGACCGAACTTACATAGGAATCGAGATGTATCTCGATGTATTTCAAGGAGGAAGAAACCCTCTGGTTCATAGTTTCCTCACAAGTGTTCTGCTTTGCCGCCATTTTGTACTTTGCGGACCCCTATGATGGCGTGAAATGGGAAGAAAATTTTTTTTTGGCTATAGGGTATCTCAAAATACCTCCAAGAGTCACCATGCCAATTTTCAAGCAGAGGTATCAATTAATAAAAAAGTTATGGATTTTTGTCCGCCAAAAGCTCATTTTTGCCAATAATGCGCCGGGCCATAGCTCGCGATTTGGCATAAGTCGTCTCTTTCCATATGTCTTGTTGATTGAACAAAAGAATATACTGTCAGGCACAGATTTAATTATGAAAATAACAGTGAAAGATAAATTACTTACGGAAAAGTGACAGTGTTTGAATTCTTACTTAACAATACTTTTAAGAGCACCTGAGGTCTGACCGGAAAGTATCCGACCTTGTTGGTCATCTCGTCATTATCTTTGTACGGACTCTCCTGAGCGCAGGTGCAGAGCCGGATTATCACACCTTGAATCACTCGTTGGTCATTTGCCGATTAGTGCGTGGTATTCTGCTGTCATCGTTGGATTTCGTTTTTCGCAAAAAAGAAGTAGTTAAGGATAGTGGGGTGGGAAGAGTTTGTGAAGAAGATCATCACGGGGGACGCGTCTTGGGTCTACGGTTATGACCCTGAGACAAAAGTTTAATCGTCAGTTTGGATCGCATCTGGGACACCTCGCCCGTAGAAAGCTCGGAAGAGTCGCAGCAATGTGGAGACAATGTTGACTGTCTTCTTTGATCATGAAAGTGTCGTCCGTCATGAATACGCTCCTCAAAGCCCCTTAAGCTACATAAAGTATCTTGGTAGCTCTCTGTATTGATAGTAGAGCATTTGGGAGTG